CACAGACACAGTACACGTTAACTAATATAATATGGGTAGACTTGTAACAACTATTATATTTTTTGGTTTTTAAGATATTAAATTAATGACCATTGCCATGACTCTTAGCATTATATGGTTATTAGCGACATTGTATGTAAGATTATGAGGACGTTTTTTAATATTTGTAGAATGTGCACTTGGTTTTCTGCAGAAAATATTATAGTAGATTACAATTTTACCTATGTTATATAAGGGAACGTGTGCTGTGTCTGTGTAGGTATACATCATCTGTATGAATTTATTTTAAATTTAGGTATTAAGTATTTCATCTATGTATTTAATGAAAATATAAATCTGAGTTTTAAATAGTTTATCCATTAATATAATTTACAATTTACCTACTATACGCTTGTAATACTTAACACTTGTACTACTACTATTTGCATAATAATTTGCTCATGTTCTTTAAAATATAATAATGTATTACAATTTACAAAATATGTAAAGCTTATGACAATTTATAATATTTTAATCTTGTACTACTATAAGTCTACAGGACAAAGACATTTTTATGAATTAGTAAACTATTTATTTAAATCCACAATTTTTTTATATAAGTGTGTATATATATGTGTATATATAAATTTTAGAAAAGTATAAAATGCAACTGTTGTATATAGGAAACCAAGTCTCTCCMATAACATCAAATTGGTACTCATAATCCTCATAATTTTTCATTCAATGTCGCTCAAAGTATATAGTACTATAATATATACCTATAAATTAGTGAAATAGTTTTTATGCATTACTTGTATACATATATTATATACGACATAATATCTAGTATATGATCTAAGATTAAAATAAAAATTGAGGATGAGCATGCTTAAAAAATTGCCTGTGTATTATTATTATTTGTATATATATTTAGATTTATTTGAATAACATATCACAATACATACATATATATTTATATTATGAAAAAATAAAAAATAAAAAAATTGTTTTGGGATCATCATAACATTCATTAAAAATTCAATATATTTAATGTGTATTTCAGTTTAGGTAAATTATATCTACCGATTAAAAAAAAAACGTTTTTCTTCGCTTTAAATATTTATATTATTTTATATTTTATTATAAATATTAAATATAAATAAAACTAATATAAATATTTGAAGCAAAGAAAAACTATTTGTTTTAAATCGGTAGATTTAGTTTACCTAAACTTGGATAGTTTTTAAATATATTGAATTTGTAGTGATGCTTCCAAAAGAAATACTTAAAATAGCCTCAAAATGACGATCACGTCTTCATTATACGGATCCGGGGTTTGGATAGTTGTTGGATACGGAGTGATGGCTTGTAAATAAGTGATAATGGCTTCACCATGAAGCACTTTTTTTCATCATTCACTTTCGGCTTTGGACGGTGCTGGGCCAATCGTTTAATGTGTTCCGAYGCCTTGTACTTCAAAGCAGCACGTGAAACGCCTGTTTTGGTTCGTGTTGTTATTAGTTGAGATGGCGGTCGAGGCACTACTTGAGGCTTTTCATCGGGTACGCTTGGGCCTTTTTTGGACCACGGTACTTGGTGATCAACTTCTGCAAAATATTAGGTAAGAAAAATGTTATGTTATTTTTGCGGTGTACGATTTTATAAAATATATGATTAAATAAAATTTGCGTCGTATAGGTTGATATTTAGTTTTTCTTTTCAGTTGAATAACATTTAATTTAAATTGTGATATTTTCGTTTTAACTGTATCTGTATATGGTCATACTTTATGAAATAACATGTAAATTGCTAAATTATTAGATGGTTCATATCTGAACATCGAGTACTTGAATTTGAAAGAAAAAAATTATAAAATTCGTCCGAGTAGAACTTCAGATAAAATAGGTATCCAAAGAAATCACCTAACGTTTTAATACWACAATAAAAATATAGCTGCATAAAAAAAAAAACTGGTCTAGATCAACTTAAATTATTCTCTTTACGTGTTTTTCTATTAATCAACCTAGATGGAAGGATATAGTACTCATACTATACGTTRTACAACATTGTCATAGTGACATAGTCATAATATCTCATAATAATATCATGGTCACGCTACACACATATTTGTTGTCTTTCAGAGACAGTCTTTGTCTTACAAGTGAGTAACATATAAATTGACCTATTATGAAACTTTATTATTTTATAACTTTATATTATGTTTAACGTCCCCTTAAGTTACCTACTTCGGAAAACGGTACTCAGTCGAACCAACGGTTTTTGCCACCGAGCTAGTGGCTTTGACAGGCTATCTATCCTCGTGGATGGCCGATAATGATGATATCCACTTGCAGTACGTTGCCCTGATGTGTCCACTTTAGGGGACTGCAGTTTCAGGTATTCGACATTGCGGCTCAGAAACGGTGGCTTATCCAAATCGGTTTGTGCGACCGTGGTWTTTTTATTGATTTTATTAATTATGTCATCAGCATCATCCAGAAACGAGACACGAACCTTTTCACCGACAGTGGCATTGCGAGAACCAACGAAATTCTTGTCGATTGTATCCAAGAACTTATTTCTTAATGGAATCCGGGATGGAATCATATTTTGTTTCTATTTTAAATATCTATACCGAAATATAATATAGCTCGATGATAAAATTAATATTGTATTTCAAAAATATTATGATATTTGAAAGATAAATAAATTCTAATTATTATATTTTGTTATAATATATTATGTATTTATAGTTACTTCTAGTTGCTTAGCACTGTAGCCATGGTACCTATATATACCTATTTTATTATTATAACATATTTTAATGTTGCAGAAAATATTTTTGTAGCCACTACTTGTTCCAACTGGCAACAAATAATTAAATAATGTTCATAATTGATTTCTTTAAATTTAAAATTTAATATTCTACGTCGATACAATTCATATTAAATATAGGTACCAAGGTACATGTTGTGCCTATGCTGTATTCTAATAGCGTGTGAATTACTTACATTATATAAATACAAACAAAAACATGTAGGTATGCATTTCATTTTTAATTTTAATTTAGATTATATTTTAGCCATAGTTTAGTTTAAATCTTAACTTTATAACTACCTCCTAYGCGAAATTTTTTTCAAACAATAGGGGCATAYATTCACTTCAACTACTAAGTATTGTTTAATTTATTTAGTCGATAATTTTTGAATTAATATAAACAGCCCGATAGTTCATAGTTGAATTTCACAAGTTRAAKTAATGARWAAATTTATTTTTGGAATCATAACTTCATAAGGTTTACAGTGTTAGGCACTACTGCACTAGTCCATATTTTAGTATTGTATTTCAGTATTTGTGTACTTCGATCAGGAACCGGTAAAAGTTCATTCATAAAAAAATATTAATTAAATTTCTTTTGTTAACAGTTTAACACCCTATGTAATTATAATCGAAACCAAAATAATTAATTGCACAGGAGTTATTTGTCATTACCGATACCGAATCCTGCTTTGAAAACATYTAAATCTACAACTGACCAATCAGAAGGGCATAGTATAAATGTCAGAAGTTTTCGCATYTTTTGATTATACAAGGTGTTCCTGGGAGGGGGGAGTGATCGATGGACGTAATATGAAAGTATATCCAAAATGATGAAGATATACCCTTTAAAGAGGGGGTTTAAAATTTTCATTTTTTAAGTTATGGGTAATTTAACTTTTTTTTAACAAAATCAAACCTACTACACATTTTTTTATGTATCTCTTCAAAACTTTTCGACATTTTAAGCTAAAGTTTTTTTTTTATTTTAAAGCTATTTCATTTTCTTATCAACCAACATTATGCAATTAAACCAGAAACACGAAAATTAGTTTTATTAAATTGAAAAAAGTAAAAWTTTTTTACCAATAATTAATATTATTAAAAGTAAACCGCGGATAACTCTAAATAATTTAGTATTTAGTATGGGTGTTTTTGTTTATTGTATGATATTCTACTGAATAATACCTAGAATACCTTAAAAGTTTAGTTTTCATATCTTTCATAACTGTAGAATTATACCACATCTTCACAATCTTGTATATGGATACCAAACTTTTAAGGTATATTCTAGGTATTATTTAGTAGAACAACACAATAAAGAAAAACCCATACTAAATACTACATTATTTGGAGTTTTACGTGATTTAATTTTAGAAATACTAATTATTGGTAAAAAAAAATGTTTTTTTTTTTCAATTTAATAAAAATAATTTGCGTATTTCTGGTTTAATTGAGTATGTTGGTTGATAGGAAAATGAAACAGCTTTAAAATAAAAAAAAATACCTTAAAATGTTGAAAAGTTCTGAAGATACATAAAAAAATGTGTGGTTGGTTTGGTTTTGTTAAAATAAGGTAAATTGCCTATAACATAAAATATAAAAAAGTTAGACCCCTTCTTTAAAGAGTATTTCTTCATCATTTTGGGTATACTTTCATATGACTACGTTGGTGGTTCACTTACTGGAACACAACACATTGGTGAAAAGTCTTGAGAAGTTATACAGTTATACTGTCCAAAAACTACAATAGTTTTCTATAAAATATATGGCGTCAACGCTCTTGAGGCCTTATGTAATACTTATATAATGTTATGTATCAGCATGATATTGGTCCAAAATGTCCACAAGTAAAGGGTAACATATTCCTGAGTAAACGGTTATAATATTTAGTTTATCTCATAAACGCCATTGGTATCCATCGTAACTGGACTTGTCTATATTAACCAAGAACCATCTTCGACACCTTGACATGTGAATGGGACCAGTCTCCAAAATGTAACATGTCCCCTAGCGAAGGTAATAAAAGAGGAATTCTTATTCCTGGATGTAAAACCGTCGATTTTTATTTTATTTTTTTTATAAACGCCATACAGTTATCATAGTACTAATAATATAGGTACACACAATTATAACTAACTAAATTTAATATACCTACCTATATATAGCTATACAGTACAATCTTCAATATTTTTCATCTTTCATGAATGATAAATGAATTATAAAATAACAATTATTGGTATTTTATATAAAAAAAAATAAGCAATTTTTCAGACAGAAAAAAGGTAGTACCTAATGGTTGAGTAGGTATATTTCATTTAATTATAATACGACGAATAAAGTTGTGGAGATATACGTTTAAAATCTTGATCACAAAGCATAGACCATTTATCCAATCCTAAAGATATCGAAATTTCTTCTTCTACTACTTCATACGATGAGCTKGACTTTTTCAACCATTGATAAAACTCATCCGACCAGTCATTTTGACGTGGCCAATCACACCGTAAGATAACCGCATTGCGACGAACGTGTAAACATTTCAACGAGTGGCCATAGTATGAAATTAATAACAATGTACACGTAGATATTTTTTCTCTTATCATCTGCAGCGAATAAAATATATGCACAATTATTAGTCAATAGTGTGAACAAATATGTCTCAAGAAAATAATAAACTCACTAAGGTATTCAGCTTAGGACAAAGCTGGACTAGGTTTACCAATGTCGTGTCGATTCGCTCTTTGAACGACGATGGTTGGAAGAATTTCGGAAGTTCCAGATATCCAAACGTCAGCAACCGATCAGAGTATAATTCGATTGTTTTATTTAAAATGTCAGCGTTCATCTRCATGTTTAATTTCAAATATTTTTAACGTAAAATAATATATATGTGCACACAATAATAATATATACTGTATACTACGTGTGTGTTTTGTATTGCTAACCCGCATATTTGGCGATTTATAAATTATACTTGAAACGGGTGAACAAGGTTGCCATAAAATCTGTCTTTCTCTGATAGATTCTACCCTGAGATGTACTTTTAACGTTGGGTTTGCCTTAACACAATGTTTCCAGTCGAACGTGTTCATGGCTTCGATGTCGATAGGCGTATAACGGTTTTGGAGTATGTGCAAGTGTCTGAGTCTGATTTGACTCAGCATCAACAACAAATCGCTTCCTAGATTCTGAGGACTAATCACTAATATCTGCAAACAAAATATGTAATAATTACATAACATTATTATCTCATTACTCATTTGTCCGTAGCCAGGGACATATTCAACGGGGTTCATGGGCAGGAACGGGTGGCAGTATTGTGATAAACAGTTCCCACTCGTTTCTGGTTTTTGGACAGGAAAGAAAAAAAGGGGAGTCCGTGTAGTCCGCCCCTCCACCGAATTGCCGTGGACGATTTTACACGATACACGAAATCTGGGTGGAACGAAAAAGCTAGTTTTTTACAATGGTGATTTTTTTCTTAAGAGGACGCCACACTCGCATGTGTTGTCTTCGTCGTACAAGTGCGTAGCATTGCGAAATTYAAGCTCAGCAGATCACGTTTATCTCCGTTAATTWAAAATTTAGGGTGAATTGACCTATTATAAAAATTAAAGGCAAGATTATTACCGAGGGCATCTCTTGGGATTTTTATTATATTTTAATTTTAAACCGAGTTATGAGTATTTTTAGATATAAAAATAATTTACAATTTTATAATACTCATAACTCGCTTTAAAATTAAAATAAAATATAAAGCCCATGATAATAATAATCTTTCCTTTAATTTTTATAATAGATTAATTCACTCTAAATTTTAAATTAACGGAGACAAACGTGATCTGCTGAGCGTAAAATTTGCCATGCTACGCGCTCGTACGACGGAGACAACACATGCGGGTGTGGCGTCCTCTTAACTTGACCCTCTTCAGAAATAAATCCTCCTAGTTACGTCCCTGTYCGTAGCCTGTTATTWGGTGTCTGTTATACTATCTAATAGAGTTCATACTTCATACCAACAACGGGTATTATAGGCATCGCGAAATTTTGATTAGAAACTTTTAAGTGTTGCGAACCTGTTTGTACCTGTTTGTACCTGTAAATTAATAAAAGTTCCGGGATGGAGCAACTGACATAAATATTTAGTAGTGTTCACTAACACTAAGGATCTCAAYGTGGTGCAACAATAGAAACACACTTGGTCCAACAATGTCTGCGCGTCATCGTTGTCCAACATCAAATCGATCAGCTCCAATCTCACAAGTGACGGCAAGTTTCCCATCAATCTTTTTAGCGCTTCCAAAAGCTTACCTATAAACATAACTACATATCGTCAAGACATGAACTATAACACGTTATTAGGYACAGTTGACTCGTGGTAACTCGAAATTTTCGATATCTCGAATAAATAAAATYCCMCTTCACATAATAATTATAACACGTCTTGATGTTGAAGTAATCTTGTCGACTCAAAAATTAATTRGATAWGATTTTGATATCTCAGATTTAGTGCTTAGTATAAAATATATGTAGTTTATCACCGCGATTATAATTTTCGTTTATGACTGTTCGTAAAACCAAAACCCTGCATGCGACCATCGTAACTACAGTGTCTATCGGGGTAGTAACTTTTGAGCCTTGACAACTCCATACAATATATAAATAAATAATATTATAATGTTACGTACTTATAAAATGAATAGTAGGTAATATGATTAATACGTAGGAATATATTTTTTATATTTAACGTAAACCAGTAAACTACTAAATTAATTTAAACTTAAAAGAATAAAAATTTATACATTCTTTAGTAAGTCGAATTTGGTTTTTTTCCCGTGAACTTGGAGTTACCAAGAGTACACTGTATATATAGCATTGAACAATAATACTTTTTTTTTAAAGAAATACTTTGCAGCGAATACAAACCTCCTGTGCCGTACAAAACCGATTCGTCGATACGTGACGTTGCCATATTGCACGGGAATGTGTACTGTAAGGTGTTTATTCTCGATCCTATTCCCTGGCCATGTTCCGCGTAGAACGATATCATGTTCATGAACTCATAAAGGTTATAAAAATTGGTGATCGGCTTGAACACCAGAACTTTGACGTAACGGCCAATGGACTGAAGGCACAATTGTACCCGTAGATGATCTAATGTATACTGATCACARCGACAACAGTTAGGTATATTTTWAAAATATAATATATTTAGTACATACGAGAATCGTTTGTAGGTCCCGATAAAATGTTTATACTRACGATATTTTTGTAAAATTAAATATTGGTACCTAGTTTTTGTTTAGGAAAATCTATTCATTGTATTTTCTATATGATGGATGTGATTGATGAATTAAAAATTCAGTATTTTCAGTCACATCCAAATAATGAAATTGTTCGTTTAATTTTAAAGGTATTTGTTTTTTTAATGATTGTTTGCTATTAGAAAGTGTTATACCTGCCTGCCTATATATAGGTAATATATAATGCCGTGTAATTAAAATGTTGGAAATCAATAAATTATTTTATTATTGCGTCTTGACTAACTTTCATGGCCAATGGCACATGAAAGTCATTGCTATTAGTAAACGAACGCATCTATATAACGAATATTGTAGAAACTAGTAAAAAGATAAATTTTGTTAAAAAATATTAATTCTCATTACACTTCAATCGTAACATTGAGATAGCAGGGCGTTAAAGATAGGCAAACATATATCATATTGGATCGGTACATTTACACTTATTCAAGACGTATTCAAGTACATTTTTATGCGTGGTGTAGTAGTATATTTTTATAAGATTATTTCAAAAATTAGTATTAAAATAATTTAATTTTAAATTCGTTGTGGATTAGTCAATTCTGTTCATTTACAAGTGACCTACAACTGAGAGCATCAAGTTTTGGATTCTGAGTGGAGCGAGAAATGTATTTGTTTTACAATGATATGTTTATAATGTGATCTAGTTACATAGTAGGTATATCATACATGTTCATCAAGTTTTTTTCATTGATAAAAAAATCTGAAAATTCAATACGTGTTTTCTTATATAGGTAGTCACAGGCTCACTTGTGATATAGGTAGTCAACTACCTTATAAATTATGTCCATAAATAACGATTTTAGTTATTTTACTGTCGGTAATTCAAAAAATAAATATTGTAGAAACTTGAAACATTCTATTTTTATGAACTCTATTTATATTATTATTTTGTATATAGGTTTCTAAGAAACTCTTATTTTTTTCCAATTGTACCCACCACAAGGGGGTGAACCGTTAGCTCAATACCTACCTATTCACTCTATGACACTTTAAAAATAGCTATTTATACCACAAACTTAACTTAGCATCCAACAGCATTACTAATTAGTAATTATAATATAAAATAATTATAAAATATCTTTAGAGTCTGACATATTGTCTCTACTTAGTCGTAAACTAAATAAAGCTATTAAAGTGATCTACTCAATGACAAAGTCCATTCAAAAGTCAAAGCCTACTATACAGTAACCTATAAATTTTTTTATCTTGCTTAAACAAATAAATTTCAGTCATAAAGCAAAAACAGGTAGGATTGAGTTTTTACTTTTTAGTAGTGTAGTTTTGGTTGTAGTAATAAATTCAAAATCAAAATAGTTTGGCACAATTATTTTTTGGTCATACTCAAACAAATATGAACTAATTACTTATTATAAGAATTATAATATTATATTGTAATTTTATTTTTATTTATTATCAATTATCAAATTATAATCTTCTTGACTTAAATTGTGATAATATACTTATGTAAAAATGTTCAAAACTTTCCACTTAAAAMATATTTTTACTCTATGATATAGATTTAATAGACTTGTTTAGTATAAATAACATATTATAGATGTACAATAAGTAGCATAATGTTTTGAACAGATACACTTACCTGCCATCCTGAATAATAGTTAAACTTTCTCCGTGTGAGGGTCGTGTCATCAAAAACAAATGTGTGCCATGAATATGGTAAATGAAAAACTGAATTCCACAATTTGCATGTTTTCGATGCGTTATGTTTAGCTCCAATGTCCAAAAAAGAGAAAATATTTTCGAGTATCAAATCTGGTAAATTATTCCAATCCCCTTTGTATTTAACAGTGGCTCTTCCAACCCTTCTGACTTCTAAAAAATAGTCAGAAACAATATTTACACACTTAAACAATAGTATACGTTTATATTTTATACAAACTTGGATGTTTAATGAGCATTTTATTATTTTCTTCATTTTGCAAGTCCATATTCAATATGTTAATGTATAAACATTTTAAACACCGGTAAGTATACATACACTGATTACACTCAATTGAGGCCAACATTTCATTTTGGCACTAGATCAACATGTTCCACATATATGTGTATAACATAGGTTGTCTATAATTAACACAAACCGCCTACAGATTTTTCTGGTATTTGCGTTATCATTATTATTTTATTCTATTTGTGTTATTAAGTTCAAGCAACTATTATCAGATTAATTGTTATGTAAATAAATTAATACAACAAAGTAGTTTAAAAGTATTTTATTTAAAGTAAAAGTCAATAATCCAATAAAACTTAATAAATAAAATAAACTTAAAACGGGATAAAATAAAATCATAGGAACTTACTGTACCTATATAAAAAAAAAATTAGTTATATATTAACAAACAAAGTTTGTCTTGACTAAAATTAAATTACCTATTATAATAAAACATTATGATAACATAATCTAGTTGTTAAATTATTTCTGAATTATAAGGAACATGTAAATAAAATAAAAAATTTAACTAAAACAATTAGGAATCTGAACAATTTGTAATGCATGCAATCAATTTATAAATCTGAAGGGATTTAAAACATATACAAAAGTTTTAACATAAATAACACACAATAAATAGGTAGTCTTTTTAAATATTTTCTTGCTAATGAGCTTACAGCCAGTATTTACTTATGATTAGTTTAACACTTAACAGGTGAAAGTTTTATGATAGCATTATCTGGTGACGGAGTGGTCATTAAACGGCGTAGAATGTAATATGTACCCAACAATACAGAACCATGTGTAATGAGACTCACCCATGGCAAATTATTGGTATCGCCCACTGGTACATACATTACCACATCTTTGTTAACTTTTACATAACTGGCCTAAAACATAAAATAATATAAATGTTTATAAAATATTATAGGTTAGAGGTGGCCAACATGAATACATCCACGAACCACATGGATAAATACAATAATATCATGAGCCAAAATGTTTATTAATAAATATTGGGTTTTTTTTTTAATAAGACGCAAGCCGCAAGTTGGCCACTTATAGGCCTACTTATAGGTAGTATAATAATAAATAAATAAATATCTACTAAGCACAATAAGGTAATTTAGTGAACAAGTTGTATCATACGTTTGTGTTTTATTCATTTTGTAACTATTTTTTTTCCAAAATTAAGACATTAGGAGTGGTCTAGTACTAGTACCACTAGATTTGAAATCAGCAAGTTCAATTCACTATATCAAGTCTACTATCTTTAACTCATAATTGTTTTTATATACATAATTTGAAAGCAGGAACTAAAAATTATTTTGAATTATTATTATTATTATTTAATAAATAAAAACATAGTATTCTGCTAACTTACAAGAAATTCAGATTTTATTATCCTTCATCCCATAAGCTCAATGTGTATTGTTGTACAGATAGATAAAAATGAAAATAATATTTATATACTTACAGGAATCCATTCTCCAGAATTAAGAGGAAATTGTTTCCAATTGGAATTCCTTGGTCCTTTACATAAGTATAACATTTGAACATCTGAATAAGCATCACCGAATCGAACCTCTTTGTAGCGACTATCTTCAGCAGCTTTTTGGTATCTCAAATGAAAAGGGAATTCTGTTTCTATCAATTTATTTGCTGTATCTGGAAGTGTGTAATTGACAACATAGAGAACAAATGGATCAGACTTATGAGCAGGTGTTTCCACATCAATGAATTTGTTGTCAACATAAAATTCAACCTGAAGAAACATAAGTAATATTAGTTTTCTATCAATAACATAGACGGTGAATACTGACTTTGCGATTCAAGGCGATAGTAGCTAATTCATATTTGTCCACATAAATATCAGCTGGAAAATCATAGCGTAATGTAACTGCACAGTCTTTACGATTCGATGTTTCATAGTCGGCAGTGATGGCCGTATGGAGAACTCTGAAATCAGAAACAGTTGATGATCAAAGATTTAAGGACGGTCGTATACTATATGTTTTGATTGAAGATTAGTGTTGTATGGTATTGAATTATAGATACCTACCTGTGATAACCTTCGTTTTTCACTTGAAGATTTATGTTTCCCGAATGAATTGTCAAGTAGTACATTGAATTTTGACTGCCTTTAAACCCATAGTACGACACAACAGATGTGACGAATATTAGCGAATAAAGAGAGAAAAGAATAATCTTGGTTTTCATGCTCAAACCCATTGTGTATTATATTTTTAATTGTATACTATGAACTGTTTAACTTCTGAAACCTGATAATAACGTTATTGTAGTTAAATTGAATGATAAATATTTTGGGAATGCAATTTACTTATAGTAATTAATAACAATTAAAAACAATGATTTAAGGATAGCCGGTAGGAACGCATAAATACTGAACGTCTATTATGCTATAAAAACATATAATAATATAATATTATTGTAATCATCATTTATCGGTTATCCATCAGCCTGTCCTCGGTCAGTTTATTATTAATTTGTAGGGCTACGAAATTGCTACAGTTTTGTTGTTGTTATCTCTTATTGTGATAAGGTAAGTTATCATTTAAAATCTTTATTGACTTTTTGGTTGCGGATAGCGATAATGGAATAATTATTGTAAAATGTAAAACAGTAAAACGTTAAACGATAGAAGTTCTACAATATCATATCTACTTATTGGCTATTACTCAACACTCTTTACTCGGCCTCTCGGCTCTCGAGAGAGTCATATAGTCATATTTCATGTTTACATTTTGAATACGAGGTCGTCTACTTTAATGATTACATATATTAAAATATTAATTTGTCTGCACTCTACCATTAGTGTGATGGTTGATGGATATCTGTTGATTCATTAATTAATACCTAATTACCTGTACAATATATTACCGATGTAGATAAGTTATATTTTCAATTAAAAAAAAAGTATTGTGTACATTTCTACACTATGGCTAYAGATGAAAAAAATTTCTTTCAAAAAACTATCCAGCATTTGGCCCGATCTTTGGCTTCTCAAAAGGAAATACCATGGGAAAAAGTAAATTCATTGTTCTTAATTATTTTGAAACAAAAAAAAAACTTAAAGACTATTGGATAAGGCATCTATTAACCTGTGGAAAATTTTTATTATTTTTGACAGATTCAAACATTATATTCATTATGTCCGCAAGAAGGTCATCAAGGGGTATTCAAGATGGATCAAAGAGGCCAAGATTCTATAATAGCATTGGGGATATATCTCCTAGAATCAAACTTTCAGCATGTCGATCAAATATTACCTTACTTATTAAAGTTGTTGAATGGTTTAGGGAAAATGCAGTGGGTGGACGAGATCAAGTACTTTCCTAGAGAGAGTAAGTTTTTTTACGTCCGATAAATGATCTATTTTTTTTTGATTTGTTCCATCTATTATATTATTTATAGGAATACCAGTTGCTGAAAGAATGAGTTTTTGTCTTAATACATTATTAACAGATGTCGCAACTCGTTATCCAGTTTCTAGAGAAAAAATAATTGAAGCACAGATAAAATGTCTCAGTAAATTGTCTAATATTATTAGATCTGCTAAATCTGACAAGTTAAATGATGTAGCTAAAAGTATGTTTTGATTAGATATTTTATAATTCATAATATTTATGATATTTATGACATATATTCAATATATACATGCAGAATGTGTAGAAAGTTTTGAAATGTTTTATACTTAAATGCGTTTAAATTTCAAGTGGTATAAAACATCTCCTATGTTAAAGATTAATTATGAATGGCTATATAAAACTTGATAAATATTAAAACATGTTTATAATTTTTAGCTACATTGTGCAAAGCTACCATTCCGTGTTTTATTGGCTTGGCTAGAGCAATGGGACGAGCAACCTTGAGTGACCCTCCACTTTTATGTCGTTTATTTCCAAAACCTAGTGCTCCAATTCAGCAAACTCCAGTCCCTATTCCTGATTTAAATATACAAAAAAAGAAAAGTTTCTCAAATTTTCGGTAGTAATTTTGTATAAATCTATTTATCATTTAATATGATTGAGACGTATAATAAAAATGTTTTTATTTCAGCTCTATCATTCCTCGATCATTATCTCTTAATTTAAATTTAGCTTCACTAGATGTTATGACATTGAGTTCGTTAGATCCGATGAATGATCTCAAGTAAATAATTCTCTGTATATAAATGAATCAGATTATTTTTACTGATAAGTTTCTTATTTATTTGTTTGTGCATTTAGTAATAGAATGATATACAAATCAGAATGCAAACTGAGTTCTCAAGCACCAAACAATATGTCTAATTACTTTTTCTTTAAATATGGATCAAGTTTTAACCAATTTCCATATACAAGATTTACCGATTCTTCTATTGATCACAAATCATCGTCGTTAATGTTTCCCCTGGGTCATCTACAAGTGAGAATATTAAGAATAAGAAAATTTTAATTGTTTTATGTTTTATCGTTATATTCACTGTCAACATTTTTTTATAGACTGTTTTATCGATTGCGAAAAAAATTCTTACCTCTGATGTTTTGGGGTTTGTGGATAGTTTAGCTCTTGAATTTCATATATCTGGTGAAAGTAAAACATTTTGTTATCGCAGTTTTAGTGAAATATTAAATTTAGTCATTGCTTCATTATTGAGAGAATTACTTCAATATCAACAAGGTAAATACATATTGACAATTTACCATTGTATTGTTAAGTTTTTAACTATAGTTTAAATTAATATTTGTTCTAGATTTACCATTACCATTTACTAAAGACGTTCAAGAATTTATAAAAGATCTATTCTTGAATGGTCAAACTGAGTTACAATCCGGCGCATTACAAGAAACATCTGAGCGTGAAGATAAAGATCCAAATTTAACTACAATGAATAAATTTAAAATAAATGTTTTAGCTAATGCTGCTTGTGTGGATTTATTGGTTTGGGCTACAAGGGACGAAGCTGGTAAGTTTTTAAAATTAATAACTTATGATTCAATAAAGTATAAACATTAATAATAATGAAATAAATAAATAAACTATGAAAAATATTTATAGTTTAATATAATATTATTAGGTACCCAAATATTTTCCATAATTCAGAACYTCAAGCTTTTAAAGAAATTATATTTTCTATTTCAAATAACTTAAGAAGACCCCACATCAGAATTTGTTGTCCCAATCTTACAAATGCGTAATACAGAAAATTTACACTCAGTAGTTCACGTTTTGCTCCGTTAGTTTACAAATTAGAGTGAATAGACCTATTATGAAACTTGATGGTAAAAACATTATCTGTGTTTAGTTGGAAGTATATTTATGATAATTCAGTTTTTAATTAAGTTATAACTGTTATAAGCATTTTTATTTTACAATTTATTATACATGCATAACTCACTTAAAAACTGAATTATCGTAAAAATACTTCCAACAAAATACAGATAATGTTCTTACCATCAAGTTTCATAGTAAGTCTATTAACTCTAACTGTTATGCTTACAGAGTAAAACATGTACTCCTGAGCATAAATTTGTTATGTAAAACTGAGATAACAAATACAGGCGTTGAGTCCTCTTAATTGGTAATGTTTATTGATTACTTCAATTTTCTATTAAATCAATTAAATATTGTATGTAATTTAAGTTTAATTTTAAATTGTAAAGTACAAAATGTCACAAAGCAAAACTGAATCTGTTTAGGGCTCATACAATACGTATATTTCGTTTATAGGTGCTGATAATTTATGTGGTCGTTTAATGGAAAAAATTAACTCGAGTAATAATGTAAAACAAGCATTAGCACATATGCCATTGATTCTAGTTTGTATGGAGGTATTTATTGATTTTTTATTTGTAACTGAAACTTATAAAACTATAGTAAATTGAAAACAAAATTAGTTCAAATTAACTATAGTAATATTGAATACTTATAATTTCGTAAATATATTTTTTTCAGGGTTTAGGTAAATTATCTGAAAAATTTCCAAGTATAGCCAGTACTTGCATTCAATGTCTCCGTGATTTCCTTGTTCAACCATCCCCAATCTTATCAAAATTAAACAAATTTCAATCTGAAAAACAAACACCCAAAGGATTAACAATCACAGGTAAAGAAAATAAATGTATACTTTATAGTTTGTATAGTGATTACTGATGTATAGGTACCTATGGTGCCAGAATAATTTTGTAATATTATGTTAAGTAATAACTTACTACTAACTTATAATTCATAATTAAATTATTTTACCTAGAATTCTGAATTTTAGCAGTACTTGAAATTAAATGAATAAATATCAAATATGTGCTATGTAGTATAGTACATAGATTTATTTTGATTTTATGTTTTTGATGTACATTGTAGTGTTGTTTCGGTTCACGGGATAATCAGTGTTGATGTTTCTCAGTTTGTAAACTCATGGGACTGTAATGTGCAATCTATCTGTGGCACTTGGTTTATTTTTAAACTTGATTACAGCACTCTCTACACTTTCTATGACATTTTTTAGAACAATATCTGAAATTTTCATCTATACCGATCTTTTAGTTTTTAGGTATACAATATACTCAAAAACTGTTTTTTATATTCTAGTAGTAATACTGTATACTAGTTAAAAACATATATTTATTTTATAAATACCTAAAATCTAGATTATAATATAAAAGTTTCTTTTATTTCTTGTAACCATTTGCAACCTTATGTATAGACAATAAAATATCAGATTTCTGTGAGTTATAACGAAATAATTTCTGTTATAAGCCACCTTATAGCAATTTATATGGGTTGAAAATTGAAACTATAAACACTCTTTGAGTCTCAAGGAATGTGTATGCAAAATTTGGTGTCAATTAGTTCAGTGATTCCGCCGAGAAAGAAGAAAATATAAATATAATTAATTTTTTTGTTATTACCTATTTCATGCTTTTCAATCTTTAAGAATATAATGTTAAATAATTACATTAATAATATTGTGTTTTATATTTTTAGTTAATGGAGTTAATGAGGTAAAACCAATATCATCAGATCATGTTGAATCACAGTTTGAAAGACTTCGAAATTCATCAATTGAAAACCTTTGTATTGCATTACGAGCAGCATACACTCTTGATCCTTTTTGTGTACCAGCACTTTTAGCATCCTTATCTAATCGATTATATACTGCCGAAAAATCTAAAAAGTAATATTAAATTTTTTTTTTACTTTAGGTTTTAATTATTATTAATTAATAATTATCATTTTAGTGATTCATCGTTAATACAAGCGAATACTATAGTGATGTTAGGCCATATTGCAGTTAGCTTAAGAGATACTGCAAAGACATCTGATACTATTTTGCAATTTTTCCAGCAACGATTCTGTCGTGTTCCTAGTTCTATTGATGTACTTATTGTTGATCAGCTTGGATGTATGATTATTGCAAAATGTGATGTAAGTATTATATTATTTTTCTAATCATGGAATTAGATTTTAGGTACTTG